ACTGTCAATAATACGATTCCATGTAAAAATGGTGGCTCCTGCTATGATCAATTCAATGATTTCATTTGCTTATGCACCGAAGGATGGATGGTAAGTGTTAATAAAATTTAGCAAAAAATATATCAATATTAACTAAACAGTTTTTTGGGGGCGTATGGAGTCAGATACAATAAAAAAAATTCACTGAGTTGTTAATACAGAGCAAGATAAATAATAAAAATTCTTACTTCTTTAAAATAATGCAAAATAAAACAGTTATAACCATTGGGGAAACAGTCATTAAGTCAACTATCTCTTTTATAAAAGTTTGTAGTCCCTTGGCATTAGTGGAGCATATGTTTCTATTTTTCTGTTGTAATAAGTTTTTAAAACTTCTGTGAAAATAGGGCAAGACCTGACTATATATCCATTATCAAAGGTTTGCTCTTAAATAGTTACTTTTTTCTATGTCCACATAAAACCATAGTAATGACGAACATATTTTAGATTAATGAGAGTTTTCTAGAAATTTTAAGTGGACTTTTTAACGTTTCTTTAAGATATCACAACCGCACTAAATTAATCATGGTCTATTAATGATTAAAAAATTATTAAACCTGGAAACAAAATAGTAATTTTTTTACTCGACCGTAGTGGTTTATATAAATCTCATAAGACAGTGACTTTTTGTAAATACAGGAACAAAATAACAGAGTACAAAGTAAAGCCGATTTCAGTTATTGTTTTAGTTTGTATTTAATAGTTATTCATAGGTCTTTCTCAATATATAATCTGGACTAATGCAAAACCATTGCAGTTATATAAACAAATTGTATATAAACACAACATCATTTAAAGTGATTGCAGGAAATTATTCAAAGAGATTTAGAGGAATCTGACCTCATATATACGATTAAAACTGAATATCTTAAAATACCTGGAAAGTGTCTTAGATTGCCTCAAAAGGTGATACACTTTCAAATGAGCATTCAAAATGATTAAAACTGTTTGCATGATAATATCTTTCGAAAGGAAATTGGAAGTATGTAAAATTAAATCTCAATCCATGCAGTAGTGCGAAATTATAATAATAATTATAATATTATTGCCATATTTTACCATAATATATTTGTAACTTTGACATTATAAATGTGATATTAATTTTCAAATCAACAATGTTTTTAAATTTTATTTTAATAATTGCAGAGGTTTTGTGAAAAGTAGTGAACTACAACAACAAAAATTCTTATATTTCTAATGTTTTTATTAATTGAATTTTTGACTGAACATACAGCTGTTTTGTTTTGTTTTGCCAAAAACTCATTATCAGTGGTCTTAGAAATAATTCTTGTATTTAACTATTCATAAATAATTTTTTAAGACAGCAAATACTAGGGATTGTACCTGTGCCCTGCCAAATTTGAAGCTCAGGGTCAGCGTTCATTAGCCAACGTACCCAAAGGCAACTGACTTTTTTATGTTCGCGCATTTTTCCGAAGTTTTGTTAATTTGCTGTGAAAGTTTATTAACAAATTCATTCTGTGTTATATTAGACCAAAATCATAAAGTAGCTGTAGAATAATTAAATTAATTAATTACATTTTATTTTTAGTTTTTTAATTTCAATACCATACTGTTTGTAAAGACATTACTTAATGATTACACAATAAACCACTTACACGATTTTTATTTGTTATTTATTTGTTATTAATTATTATAAACGCTATGCATTTGTCTCTAGCCCTTACAGACATTCAAGTTACTTTGCACTTTTTTGCCTTCTTTCTCACTTATTAGTATTTTATAAACCATAGAAGGAATTTTTCTGAATGACTTACAATGAAAAAATCAATTAAGATCTGTTTTAAAATGTTTGAATTAATTTTTTAATGCAGTTATCTACCTACTACTGTGGTAATTCAACTGGTTTCAAACTTCCTATTGATGATTCGGAAAAGTCCATTATTCTAAGCTTCCATAGTGACGAATTTTTTGAATACCCTGGATTCAATATAACAATTCAACATCAGCAAAGTAAGTGATGTATTAAAAAATATTAAATTAATAATATTAAACAACATTTGTTAACAAATATTTATATAGTTTTTATTATTTTATTATCTTTTTCTAGCGTGTAACAACAGCTACACTAAATTAAATGACCACATCGATTATTATAGGGGTACATTTGAAGAGGTACAGTGTGTGGATGATATTCGTGTGCCGGATGATTACAAAATAAGTTTCTACATGAAATCAATATTTTTTAACATATATAACTGCTCCACCAGTTTACTTAAGGTATTAGTACCTTCTGATGTAAACAGTCTTATATTAATCAATTATTAATTTTTAGTTTATTGACTTGCATACAAATCAAACATTATTGGAGACATGTCAAGACAGATTTACTTACAGTTCTCTACATACAAACACAAGTGCTGTACGAATATATGTAGACCATTTCAGTTATATAAAAATTGAGTACATAGCAGTTAATCGGTCGTTACCAGCAGGTTGTGGTGGAGAAATATACAACAATGATGGAGTACTATCCAGCCCTTATTATGACAACGATCGTAACTTTTCTAATTGTAGATGGGATATAAAAGTACCTTCACCAAACTATATTCGCATTTATTTTTCCAGTTTGTTTCCTTGTTTTCGATTATTTAATATCTTGATTAAATTTTTAATCTTTCAGGTTTTGATATGGGATCCAAAGTAAATTGTCCGCTGGATAATGTAACCATTTATAAAATTTTACCTAATGGTTACGAAGAAGTATTTTTAACTCTATGCGGCCAAAATTACGAACAAACTCACGACACTATAAAAATACCTAGTAGTCACATTGCAATTGTTTCGAAGAAATCACCTAACTTCGATGGATCTGGATGGACATTAAATTTTTACACATATGATGAACGATCTAAATTAGAAAATAAAGAAAATGAGTATTTAATGTAATTCAAATAATTTTTTATCATTTTAAATTAATATAGAAGACACATGTTGCTCATATGATGTTCAATATGAAATAAATCATTATTTACCTCAGTGCTAACATAGTAATGCTGCAATTATTATACGAAATAAACAAAATAAATAGTTTAAACAGTTCAATGAATTAAATAAATAAAGTAAATATTATTTTTATAGTTCACTTCAAATAGAAGGCACAATTAAAAGTACAATTTACTAAACTTTCCAGTATTTGTGAACAGAGGCTGCGGGCACACAATGCAACGTGCCTAATCGAAGTCGGTGCACAACAACTACATGGAACCGTGAATAATAACTGGCACCCACTAAGTAATGTACTGGTTATAGTGGGCATCGTTCTTAATATATTTATTTTGATTAACGGAAATACTCCTCAGTAAAAATATTCAACTTTGGCAACCCTCTCATACGAAATAAGTACTATGACATGGATATATCCAACTAAAACCCTCAATACGAAACTTGTTTTTATTAATCTAGCGAAACCCTATAATTACTGTTAAGCTGAATGGTAGTACCATTCAGGAAATTCGAAGGACAAAAGAATACTGATATTAAATATCAAAATATTAAATTATGATATTTAATGCAGCCATGCAAGTAATCATGAGTGATAGACTTTCATTTTTAAGTGATACTTTTAAAATTATTAGAGAAAATATTTATCATGTTACTGCCATAAATACTAACATAAATACTTTAACCTGGAGAATTGATGAAGGCATTCATTACTGTCGTAAGAGGTGACTAAAATTCAGTAAAATCCAGTAAATCCAGTAAAATGCAGACACCATTCGATACTGTTTGGAGTAAAAATGATAGTAAGTAAGTTTCACTTACGGCATCCTACAGGAGGTGTAAACATGGTATCATTGTTTCTAAGCCACAGTTTTTGCTGTCCTGACCAATTGAGTTTCGGCGGCTGTGATTAAAATTCAAAATTATATGGAAAAAATGACGGTATTCATTTCTTCCATTCGATGTGGAATTGCATTCTCCAATCGGGTGCAGTTCCCTAAAGAACAGTAGAAAAGTGAGATGTGTCTTGCCAGCTGAAAGAATAAACTATTTCTAAACGTATGGCATCAATTGATACCCGAAGAACTTCTTGGAATTTGAATGGTGAATTTTATCATTATATTATACAGATTCGTATGTTAAGAGTACCGTTACGTTAAGCCTTTACAACATGTTATCACGTAACATATGGATAGGTACGACAATAAGGTCAGTACTTAAATTAGAATTAAAACTTTCCAACTTCCAACTGACAAAACTTACTCTATATATAATGATGAAGTAATTATAAGTATTAAAACAAGAGCTCTTTAAATATATTTAGACTTTTTTGAGTCGGGAACGACTAACGTGTCCAACTAAATGGCAAACTGCACGAGTTTTAACAAATACGAGTTTATTTATCGTATTGCCATTCAGTGGCTTCACTAGGTTGATCATGTCGTGGAAAGGTAAACAATGTTCTTAGGAAATAGGTGTTTTAAGCGGTAGGAATTGTGGAAGTAGTTATCGCATTTGATGCAGGAAAGAGAGTAGTGTTATGTTCGACTGAAATATAAAGACGGACTGCACGGGCTAACTAAGTAAGAAATTTAAATAAAAAACCGTATTTCAAATATTATTACAAGAAATTTTTAAAATATGTTATAGTTAAGTTTTTTGGATAATTTTATTAGACTTCAAATTAAGGACTCTATTCATATTGATCTATTTTTATAAATAATATTTTTATTTATTTTAACATAAAAACTACATTTGCAAATCACATTTTTCTGTTTAATATTTACAATATATAATTTTATACATATATACCCGAAATATGTATTATTACTTAACTAAATAATTTTGACTAAATTTAATTTTATTTGCACTCAACTTTTTATGTGAAACTAAGAGTTTCGAACTACACTGTACATTTAGAGCAAAGATCTTAAGTTGATTTTAAAATTAGAATTTTTTCAACATATTTAACACTAATAAATTCGTAATTATGTCAGATAAACTAAGTTATGCAAGCAATCGATTTATTGCTCCGAGCTAAAATAAGAATTTTGCATTAAATACAACTTGTCAATGGGATTAATTAGATTTGTGCTCAGATTTGCGATCATATCCTGTGCATTGCTATGTTGGTTGCCTGATGAACAGGTGGACTGTAATTCTAAGTTATTAAGCGAAAGCGAATCGCCATCATCGTCAAGTTGATCGAAATTGCTACCATCAAGTGACAAATCAGAACTGCAGAAGCTATCATTGGAGTTGGCAGGGTAATCTGTGGAAAAATATTTGAAGTGAAACAGTGAATCAATTGAAGTATGTGTCCTAACTTACCATCTGGTGAAAAAGGTAAATTTGGATTTAATGGTTGACTGGCAAATGTACTATCTAAGCCTAAATAACTACTTTCACTAGCCGAACCGGATTCTTGTTTTATACTCTTTTCATCCTTGTCATTATCCTTATCGTCGCCACTGCGGCCGCTGTTTGTGCCGTTGCCATTTTTGGCTTTACGTTGTATTTTTTTCATTTTAGCGCGCTGATTCTGGAACCATACTTGCACTACACGCACTGAGAGACCAGTATCTTTCGCTAGTGCCTCACGTACTTTGCGACACGGTTTCGGTGATTGATCAAATGATGCCTTAAATTGTTTGCGCTGTTGTGAGGTGAGTATTGTACGCGGTCTTTTGGGCCCGCGTCGACCATCACGTGGACGTAATAAGTCGTCTTCGTCAAGCGTTACAAAACCACAATGTTGTGCTGCTGCCAAATACATTTCCTTTTCCAGATCATGTCGAAAGCAGAATAACTGACCTTCTCGGAGTAGAAATTGTTCACCTTTTTGCAATGGTAATCGGCAAGCAAAGCACACAAAACAAGGTAAATGAAAAATTAAGCTGGGTACGGGTCGCATGACTAAATCCTGTGGCAAGATGGGATGACAACAGGCAGCACATTTAATGGCAAACAATCTAAAATATAATTAAAAATAATTATTTAATCTAAAATGGTTCAGGAATTTTGAAAAGTGTTAGTACCTTTCGTAATCCAATTTGCAGTATAACTTCGAATTTCGAACATAACAACTGTGATGTAATTGTATGCCACAATAACAACACGCCAGACATTGTTCATGCCAGTTCGATTCACCCACATTCATAATGTAGCGATCATGTATCTTTTGCCCACATCCTTCACACATTTCATAGTTCTTCTCGCATTTGATATGTCCAATAACATCTGAAAATAGAGAAGAATTATTGATTTACATTAAGTTCAATTTTAGTGAAATACAATTATAATTAGAGGATATTAGAGGACCCAACCAAGCAGACCTAGTACTGCATAAAAAAATATAAACTTAAATAAAGATTTCTAAAATCGCTTAACATGATATCTGTCTCCTCAATATGTCACTCTGCACTCCTATGTCCTAAATGACAAGCCTTCCGGAGTTTGCCGTGCTTTCCTTATACCACTCTATTTACTTCAATATAGGTAGTGTTCAGTTCTGTGATAATAGTACCTCAAAACTCCTTTCTCATACAGGGAACCAGCAATTCATTTAAAGAGAACTGTTCTCTTCAAAGCGGATAAGAGAACAGAGTGCATTTATTTAACCATTTAAGTCAAGAATACTAATAGGACTGTCTAATACAGAGTTCATAGTTTTCTTTATCATGATTATCTAATGGTTACAGGTTAACACCACGATGCTCTTAACATACCTTTCAATGTAATGCGCCGATAGGAGCCCTAATTGATATTCAAGGGAATTCTGCCAGTTAAAGTTATTTTAAAGAATATGTCGTCTTGTGTTTCCTGTTTGACAGAGCTGCTGTTTTTTGAGTCACTGTATCTGGTGCGAAAATACTACTCCACATCAAATGGAAGAAATGAATATAGTCATTGTACCCATATAACTTTGGATTTTAAACTTATCCACCGTAATACTTTCATTAAATCGGTCAACTTTAAATGGTCAGGAAAACCGAAACTGCAGACATATAAATTTGTGATATCAGATTTACTCCATCTTGCTGGTGAAACACTCTCAAAGCATTCCTCTCAGTGAAAAAATTCAGACATCAAGAGTAATTTCATTTTAAAATCTATTAACTGAACTGTAAGGGCCAAAGACGGGTTCTATAGGTTCGACAATCACTCCATGGTTGTTTTAAACAGATGCCTTAAAACATACAGAACAGAGAGGATATCATATGTGTGTGTGGAAAATATACTGTATAATAATTATGGTCACTAATGTATACTTTAAATAGGTCGATACAACATACGATTGTGAACTTTATCTACCTACCTATAAAATATCAAAATATAATAAATTTAAAGTTGATTGGCGTATTTAAATTTTGTGAAAACATAAGAGTGTATGCTTTGATAAATCATAAAAATTGGTTTAAAATTCCATAGAAACAATGTACTAAAAAATTATTATATTTTCTGTTAACAATTTTGAAATAGTGCAGAATACACAGCAGTAAACAAAAACTGGAACAAAAAATCTATTCCACAGTTTTGAATAAATGTAACAACAATATTGTGTTGAATGCCATAAATTTCGATTAGATTACAAACAGGATATATGCCCTCAAATGCTCGATTGTTTTACAATCAATTTGAATGTATATACGTATATACCCTGCGAATGTTATACGTTGTTCTGAGTATTTATATAAATCAATGTATGTATTCTAGTATTAAAATGCACTTGATTTTTTCACTTTTAGAGGAATTTCTCTTCTGTTAGAAAGCAATTTCTATATCGTGCTACATATTTAAATAATCCTGTTAGTTGCTTAGAAAGATTTATACCGCACGAGAGATTATAATAACTTAAGCAATGTTAACAACATAAATATATATATAATAACAGATTCACACTAACTAATTATCCAATTCGTTGTCTTAATTTGGCAGCACTGTTTTAGTCACATACGCCAAACAGAACTATAATCCAATCATTCACGTATTTGGTTAGAACTTGCCATTTTATAATATGGATCGCTTTACAGCCGTCGAGCATATAGAAATTACTACAAATAAGGTTGACGATTTGTGCATAGAATATTTATCAGTAATGGGGCCGTTTATTTGTTTAGCGGATAAATCAAAAAATGAAAATTGGGATTAGCTTAAAAAATACCCATCTATCTATGAAAACAGACTATACGGTGTATAATATTTGTCTGAACATGTGATAAACGCAAAGTTTTTTTAGTAGATGACATAAACCGAAACTCCCGACCACTGAAATTGAAGATATACATAGATGTGGATGATATGCTATATAACACGTCATGTTTTGGATCTGTTGCATCAGAAAAGTCTTTGAGTGCGTAACTTAGCGTTTTGTGGTACATATAGTCTACTTAAGCCAAGAGATTGACTGAGAACTATATGCTTTACAAAGAAAAGAGAACTACAGTAAGTAAGAAATTGTCACTACTAATTTTCTGTGTCGTTCTACAATGAAATACGAATTAACCACTAAGACCTCCTGATTTGATATGATTTGACAATGCCTGACATTTTTTGGTGACGTTACGCTAAAAATTGTTTTAGTGCGGAAAAAACTCAAGATTTCTTTGTATCGAAAATCATGAAGTTGTGAGAGACATATATAATTCTCTTTATGGGTGTAAAAACAGGTGTGGATTATAAAAAAATAATATTAAGATGTAAGATATATAAAATGAGAAGAACATAGTACTGAAGTAATAGATAAAATATTAAATTATAATAGATTTTTATGTTACTTATTATTAAAGACTAAATTTGAAGGAATTATTTTAGAAAATTTTATATATAATGTTTGGGTTAATTAGTGTTAAGTCAATAGATAAAGTTAGAAAAACTGAATGTAAAGCTATTCTCGTAGGGTTCAACTTTTTATGTAAATGTTTAGATTCATTTTTATTATAATTTATTTTTTGTCTAAATAGTTTTGTACATATGTTAAATTTTTTTTTTAATTTTTTGAAGTACTTTTTTTTCATACTTGAAACAATTTTTGACGCATTTTCCTCTTTGCTTTGTTATCGATGCACATTTTTTGCGCTTCAAATAGGATTTCTGCGCTCCACTCATGTTATCTGCGCTTGATTTATTTTTTCAACGTTTGAATAATTTACATACAAACACTCAAAAATACCAACAACAGTTTGAAGTTATTCGTGCGCTACAACATTAATAGGCATGTTTAGTTTTATAATTTCATTACAGTAATAATAAAAATTATTATTTCTAATTATATTAGAACGAGTTTTAGTAATCATAATATAATATAATAATATAATATAATCTGGCGTTTGAAATAATTACTTAAAAAATAAATAATCATTTGTACAAAATTATTCTTAAATAAAATCATGTTTGAATTATAACATTACAATTTAAAATAAATAATAATAAATACATAAATAAATAATAAATAAATAATAAATAAATAATAATGTAAGGTTCATTATGCGTAACAACAATGAAAAAATAAAAACAAAAAAAAATCAAAATTTGTAGCGAATAACTGACATAAAAAAATTTATATCGGTCAATTTTTTAAGCATATAACAGCAGATGATGCAAAATGGATTACATATGTGATGTTATAAAAAATGAACATGATCATTAATATATGAAGCTATATGCCGAATTAGAAATTAATGACAAGGCTATGCTAAATAAGTGACTACTTATAATAGTTTATTAGTTAAAATAGCTTTATAATTACTACAAATATATACCATAATCATTGATGCATATGAAATCACGCAAAAAAAGTGCGCATTCCTTAAAATTCTTACTGCTGAAACTGTGGATACCTGTAGAAAAAAGAAATAATTGAACATTTTCGCTAAGAATACCTCGCTTACCATACTGTTTATCGGAGAAGTCGAAACACTAATAAATTTATAAAAATTCGATGAGATGGATTTAGTCTGTATATGTTAGGGTTTCTTGCGCGGAATGTTGGTGCAAAACGGCGAAAAATCTAATTGAGGGCAATGAATGGTTATCACTGCAACACATAAAGGATAATTAATGTTTTTAATTAATTGGATTTCCTCAATTTTTAGACTACTTGTTTTAAGCAATCGGTACAATACCTTTCAGACTACACCTTTCAACATTAATTTAATAACATAGTTGCCACATAACATAACTGGTTTTTTATTAAAAAAATAAATACCTTATTGTATGGAAGTGCTTACTTCTGGACAAAATTTTGTTGGATTCATTTAATCACCCACAGGTCTAGGCTCAAACACATGGATTGACACCAACTTTATATATTTAATAGGAATATATGAATTTAAATATATATATATATTAAAATAGCGTGGTTTGAGTAATCGTTCGGACAGAACATCTAAAAAATCTAACCATATCTTTGCCATCAAGTAAACATTTGTTGAATTCTTTCCATGCACTTTAAGAAAAGATGCGAAGACTCAACGATATGTACGCACGATGTAATTTGTCGCGTTCAATAAAAATAATAGTCTACTAGTAGATTTGCTAACGGATCACAGTTGATTACGAAACCATGCTAGAATATTTGAATCCTATGTTTAACCACTCCTCTAATAGTTGTGGAGTGAACGGTAATAGTGCCTCATTTTACTATTTTAGAACTTCAGTATCTAGCTTAAAAGAACATTTCAAGCTTTACCAAAGGTTTAAGGTAGTTTTTAAATCTCCTTTACGGTACCACAATGGACCAGTAGGCCTAAGTGGATTCATAGGATCGCTGTTATGACCTAAAGTAACCTTAAGTGTTGGGTTCATAGTTGGCTTAAGGAGTCGGATATTTCGATCAAGTCTCGTTGACGGCCGTCGACAATTTTAATATAGCTTTCTTTGCATAATCTATAGTGGATAATTGCAGTCACTAATGTCAATACATGACAAAAACATTTTTCAAAGCATACTTTTTAGCGATCAAACTTTTACCTATCTTTTGTATCTATGTATATTAAGGTCCTTCTATATATGCATACATAACTTTCCTGCATAGACGTACATATAAGCATATACAAATACAGACATATGTTAATATATCTACAAAAACGATGAGTATGTGTATGATTCGTTGAAGTGCTGTCACACATAAATCATAACCAGTCTCAGTCAACCATATTTTTTCTTTGGCATCAAAATCAGCCACTCGATTTTGCATTGTTTTTGTTTTTGTTTTCATTTTTGTTATTTTTATTGTTGTT